AGCATGTGAGTCCAGAGGCTGGCCCAGGACCACTCAGCCGTGGGCAAGCTGGCGTCCGAACTGACATAGCACCACTTTAGAAACACTTTTCTCAAACACCCTGCCATGTGGCTGCCCCAGTCTCTTCCCAGTTTGAGAGAAGAGTCTATTCACATCACCCTACTTGGGAAGAGGAAGACTGACCACAACCCAGGCCCACCCTGCAGATCCTGGCGCAGATGGTCGAGGAGAGTGTCTAGACAGTCACCTTTTTCAAAGGCCCCCAGGGAGTGCCAGTGCGTGGCCAGCGTTGAGCACCTCTGGTCCAAACCAGTCCCTGCTCGACAGTGTTCATGGCCTTGTCAGGCTGGCTGGTAAACACCCGCACCCCGAGGGAACATGCTGAGGTGGACTGTGCCAGGGGTGTTGATGGGATCCCAGGAGGGACTGGGTGGGTAGGCAGGTGTGGTGGGAAGGAGCTCTGAAAGAATGAAGTGGCAAAGGAGAAAATGCTGGAAATTTGAGGGCCCTGTTTCAGAGCTCTGGTTTGGACCTGTTCTGCTTTAAAAGGTTCCACCCAAGTAGTTGAAGGGCCACTTCCTCAGCAGGTGACCAGCCAGGTGAGAAAAGTAGAACATGCCACATGAGATAAATTAAAAAAAATTTTTTTTAGCCCTGGTGTGGCTCAGTGGATTGAGTGCTGGCCTGTGGACCAGGGGGTCACTGGTTCAATTCCCAGTCAGGGCACATGCCTGGATTGCAGGCCAGGTCCCCAGTAGGGGGTGCATGGGAGGCAACCACACATAGATGTTTCTCTCCCTCTCTTTCCCCCTCCCTTCCCCCCGTCTAAAAATAAATAAATCTTAAAAACAAAAAAGAATGGAAAAAAGTGACTAGATTTTTAAAAAATCTTTTAAAATTATGTTTATTGATTTTAGAGAGAGGGAAGGGGGGAAAAGAGAGAGAGAGAGAGAGAGAAACATCAACATGAGAGAAACATCAACTGCTTGCTTCCCATACATGTCCTGATCAGGGATTGAACCCACAGCCTAGGTATGTGCCCTAACCAGGAATCGAACCCCCTTTTAGTGTACAGGACAATGCTCCAACCAACTGAGCTGCACCAGCATGGGCACGAGATGACTTCAAAGCCCCAGCAGAGCCGTGCCACAGTAGGTGTGAGTGAGCTGAGGCACACTGAGTCCCCTGGGACCAGGACCAGGAACTTGGCCGGAAGAGCTTCTGGGTAGACGATGTTGAGCCATATTTGGGAAGCTGGGTACAGTGTGCTAGGAGAAAAAAGAGGATGCATCTCAGATGTGAAGAACGTGCCCTGGCTGGTGTGGCTACGTGGACTGAGCACTGGACTGTGACTCAAAGGGTCATCGGTTCGATTCCCAGTCAGGCTACATGCCTGGGTTGCAGGCCAGGTCCCCAGTAGAGGGTGCACGAGAGGCAACCATGCATTGATATTTCCCTCCCTCTCTTTTTCCTTCCTTTCCCCCCTCTCTAAAAATAAATACATATCTTTAAAAAAAGAACGTGATGTGTTAGTGAATGCGTGGAAAGAGGTGGAATGGAATGGTTAGTTGTAGAGGGAATGAGGAGGAGATACCGTCTTGCAGTGCACAAAGGCTCTGCTGGAGAGGGATGAGCATTGTGAGTAAGGACAGGTGGGAGGGTCAGGTGGCGGGTGGGAGAAGCCCGGTGCTGGAAGAGTCCTAAGGCTCTGCTGGGAAGCCTGGGCGTGCCACAGTCAGCAGCAGGCTCCTCTCTGCTACTGGCGAGCACTGATGTGGAAGCAAAGGAAGGAGCTGGGAGCCCAGAGGGCCTGCTGCAGACCTTAGCGAAGCATCAGCTGCTTCAGAGACAGGCACATACCTCTGAGATGGCCCTGGAGGAGGAGCTTCCAGGTGACTTTCCCAGTCACCCCCGCACTGGCTGCTGGGGAAGGGAGGGAGAGACACGGAAGAAGAGAGTTCCAAGTGGTGCGCACAGGATGGTCATTCTTCGCTGGAGTTGTCCGAAGCACCATGCCTGCCTCTGAGGTGCACAAGGGCTGCCACAGGGAAGGGGTAATCATCCGGTCCCCCTTCCTCCAGGGACCCAACAAGAACATATAAAACTGAGCCTTAAGCCATTCAAAGTTTGGAATTAGTTGTTACAAATATTTTTCCCACAGCAGAGGGCAGGTGTAAATATGGGGACACAGAAAGGACCAACTCTGGGTGCCTCATCTTTTTTTCACAAATTTAACCACACTTAATATTTGCTCTTTTCTCTTCCTTTTTTAAAAAAGATTTTATTTATTTATCTTTCAGAGAAAGGGGAAGGGAAGGAGAAATAGAGGGAGAGAAACATCAATGTGCTAGAGATACACCGATTCGTTGCCTCTCGCACGCCCTCAGCCAGGGATCCGGCCCAGACATGCGCCCAGCCTGGGGTTTGAATGGGCAACCCTTTGGTTTGCAGGCTGGCACTCAACCACTGACCCACTCCAGCCAGGGCTGCTCTCTCCTCCCTTACCATTCATCCCAGCTTCAAAACTCAACTTGAATCACACTCCTTGGGAAGTTTTTTTGGTCCACCTAGGCCCTGGGAAGTTCCTTAATTCGGAACTCCTAGAGCAGAGCTGTGAGGTTGGGAATGTCCTGTGTCTTTTGTGCTGTCCACTATGGTAGCCGTTAGCCATAGGCGACTACTGACAACTTGGCTTATGGCTAGGGCATCCAGGGGACTGAATTTTAAATTAAATGGCCACATGCGCCTTGTGGCCAACATCTCACACAGCACAGGCTCTGAGCATCTGGTGTCTGAGCCAGTGATTAACAGTTAACATCATGTCCAGCCTCCGTGTATCATGTATTGAGGACCTGTTACTTACCAGACATTGACTAGGTACTCTACACAGATTACGTCATCAACGTTCACAGCCTCTCCAGAGGAGGTATTATCACCCCCATTCAGAGGAGGAAGAAACAAAGGAATCAGAGAAACCTCCCTGGAGAGTGGTGCAGCTGGACTCAAGCCTGGCCCCCCTCCCCCACCCTCCACCGTGCCATAGCTTAGGCTCTTTCTGTGATGGTGCATTTCTCAGCGCCATCTTCTCCTCATCAGCCGGACAGACCGATTCTCTGCTTGGCCTTGCTGTACACGGAGGTCCCTCCTGCCCCCTCTTGTGAACTGGTCTTCCATCTCCCTCTTCTCCATTCTCTCTTTGGGGCACCTCTCTGGGGGCCAGCTGACAGAGGTGACGACGGAGCCTGAGTGGCCGTCAGAGCCCCTGGCCGTGGGGACTGCTGCAGCACGGCTGGTCGAGGGCAGCAGGAGGCTGGAGTGTGGAGCTGGTGAAGCCCAGGAGATCCTGGCAGGGCGTTTGGGGCCACTGTTCCAAATTTCACTTCTCCTCAGGAAGCCTCCTCAGTCCTGCCCCCGAAGACCTTCTTGCAATGTGAAAGCAGAGGACAGTTAGTTAACTGGTTCAGGCCAGGGCTCATGAGTGTCTCAGTCTGAGTGATTGCTGGTCTGTGTGTCCGTTCATTCAGTTTAGAAGATAGCAAGCACCTTAAGGATTTGGGTTCAAATAGGTCAGTGATAAGGCCCGAGAATCTGCATTTTAACAGAAGTCAGGCGGTTCTGCAGTCCACAGATCACACTTGGAAGTTGCAGTCCTTTATACAGTCTTTTGTTGATACATTTCTTCTACTTGCAAGTGACTGCTTAAACACTATCTTGAGTTTCCCAATTCACTGCTAGAAATAATTCCTTCTTCCGCTGATCTTCCCTGTAACAGAACTTCTCCACTAGTCCGGCTGCGTTCTAGACGTATCTGAGGAGCCACAGGAAAATACTGCTGGCCAGGTGCCAGCCCAGACTATTGACCAAAGTCTTGGGGGAGGGCGGGGAGCTGGGGCATCTCCTGGGGGAACCGACTGAGTGGTGCAGCCAGGCTGGGGAACCCTGACCTCACCTCTGATGCCTCCGTGACGCTCAGCCACATCCTGCTTCATGTTACTCACTCGTGACGCCTTCTGGGTGGACTGAGTCACCTCTGAGCCTCCACAGCCTTCGGTGTAGTACCTTCTGCAAGCACCTTACATAGCATTTTCAGCCGAGTGAAACTTTTTTCTCCTATTTCGGTTCAGTTTTAGGGGCACCCTAACATTACCCCAGAAACTGGAGTCTTCTAACCAAGAGGCGATAAGTGATTCTTCCCTTTGTCCGTTCTGAGCCGTCCTCTTTTTGCTGGACCTCAGGTGGCCTCACCCCTTAGCACAGCTCTGTGTGTAGCACCTCGTGTCAGTGGGAGTCGGCTCCTGCTCAGGGTGCCGGGTGGACGCCTGCCTGAGTTGGCTGGGGGGTCACAAGGGCTGCACTCAGCAGGCATTAGGGGTTGGTGCCAGCCTCCCCCCCCAGCCCCCACCAGCCCCTGGTCCCCGTGGCATTGACGGCACAGGAGCGAGGGAAACCTTCCAGGATGGAGCTTCCTTCCTCTGAAGATTCTTGGCGCCGTGGTGGGCAAGTGGAAGCAGGCCTGGTCTCGAGCAGAATCACGAGGCGAACGCAGGTTTCTCGGAGGCTCTGTCTCCCTTTCTTCCTCCTTTAACCACCTGTGGCCCTGGACCCTGCCACCTTCCCAGAGGCCGAGGTCCGCATGCCTTCTCCCCTCCCACCAGGCTTGCTCCTGACTCACACTGGGCTGAATATTTCTAATCAAGTTAAGTGTGCTACCCAGTCCAAGGGTTTTTGTTTGTTTTTAAATCAAAGGGGGTGTTTCAAATGATGGAATTTTAGCTGTCATTGTGGATTAAGTATCTCTGAGGGAACTAGGTTTTTCTTTCTAAATTCCTGAAATTGCAGAGACCACTCTGAAACCAGAGGGGTGGGAGAGCACCCCCTGCTGGAGGAGCCGCTGTCCTGACTTTGGAGAGGAGGGGGGGTTTGCCCTTGGGGAGCCCCTTCAAGACACTCTCTGGGAGGCCCCAGCGGAGGGTCTCACGTGCACCCTCTGCCCCTCCCAGATGTGGACGAGTGTGTGGAGGGGACCGACAGCTGCCACATTGATGCTATCTGCCAGAACACCCCACGCTCGTACAAGTGCATCTGCAAGTCTGGCTACACGGGGGACGGCAAACACTGCAAAGGTGAGGCTGGGAGGGTGCCTGGACAGGGGGCACCTGCCTTCAGTTGGCTGCGCTGTGCCTTGCGCTAAGGCCTGCAATTCCCACTGGCATGGGGGAGGGGTGGAGAAGAGAGAAGCCATCTTTTCCCAGAGAGCATCATTTTCTCCTTTGCACACACCGGGCTGGGTGGGGGGATCAGTCACGGGACTGAGGCCTGAGGTTGCCCGACATTGGATTCTTCCAGCATGTCCGCAAAAGGTGGGAACAGGCAGTTTGTCCCAGAGGAAATTCTTACTGTAAACAAACACACCTTCCCCCTCATCATTAAAGCAATGCAAATAAACAGTCTCGAGATGTTATTTTAAATATGACCTTCAGTGTTGATACGGTTTCAGTGGACAAGGTACACTCATTAATTCCTGGTGACATTATAAATTGAAAAGTGATTTTGTCATACCTAGCGGGACTCCTAAAAGGCCCTTACACCCTTTGACCCAAGAATTTTACTCTTATTCAAAGGAAATTCAAAGAAACAAAATAATATACGGAAGAAGATATTCTTTGATGCCTTATTTATGATAGTAAAATAAATGGAAGAATCTAATGATAGAGAAAAAACAAATTAGGATAGAGCCACAGAGTGGGACACTATGCAGCTGTGTGCAGTAGAGATTAGAAAGACCGGATGGAAACACGTGAAAATGTTTGACTCCTGATGAAAATAGCAAAGTGCCAAATGGTTTGTAGACTGTGAAAGTCACTACGTAAACACACACACACACACACACACACACACACACACACACACACACATGGCGATTTATTTTTTAAAACACCACCACAGGGCTGGCCAGTGGGGGCACCCAGACGGGCTGCACCACCTCAGCTCCCCTTTGCCCACAGATGTGGATGAGTGTGAACGAGAGGATAATGCAGGTTGCGTGCACGACTGTGTCAACATCCCTGGCAATTACCGATGTACCTGTTACGACGGATTCCACCTGGCACATGATGGACACAACTGTCTGGGTGAGCAAGGGAGAGGGGGTGGGGGTATCTGGTAGGGAGGAAGGTGTTTCCAGCGTTTCCCATTTCCCAGGCCAGCGGGGAGAGTGACCACAGAGCTGCAAAGTAGAGAGCAAGGTCATTTCCCTTGGAGACTAGGTATCGGGGACGGAGCCATCCCACTGCCGGGTGAAAAATAGCAGAGGAGATGCTGCCAGAAAGTGCTCCCAGGGCGAGGGCCAGGAGACCACAAGAGTGGGTTCAGCCTCGGTGGGTGGAGCGTGGTGGGAAGGTGATTTGGCTCTAGACAGCTGTGGCTCTGCCACTTGCTAGCTGCGTGGTCTCGGGCAAATCCACCAGTCTCCGGGGATCTCAGCTTCCTCCACGTGCCTGGGTGAATCGCCGTGAGAGGACGCTTGTGCAGCCCAGCACATACTGGGTGCTCAGCGCACAGGAGCAACGTCGTCGATGCTGCCAGTGCTTCCCTGTGCCCTGCGGAGCCCCCGGCCCTCACAGGCTGGTTTTCTTCCAGCTCTTCCTGAAGTCCACAGGCCCACCCTCTGCTCACTTCTGAGGCCTCAGTCGGCCTGGTCTCCTTTGCCCCAGGAGCTGCATCAGAGAGAGAATCTCCAGGGAGCTGAACTCAGCTGTGGTTTCTGTCATTTACTAGGACCACGTCAGATTCCTCCACCAGTAGAAAAACTGAAGCCCGTGGCATAAAAAGATTTGAGATATAAACCCAGGCATCCTTCCTCAAATTCTTTCTCTCTGGTGCCAAAACAGACATAAGACTCTGGAAGCGTAGAAAACCAGGAAAGGAAGAGAGGCAAGAGGGACGGTGCCCCGAGAAGCAGGCGAGGCCGCCCTCCCACCCCGAGGCCCGGTGGGCTGAGGGCAGCCTCCTTACTGCAGAGCGCCTTTAAACCCGCCTTATTTTGTCCTTGGCCCCGGTGTATCGGGTTCCACTCCCAGCCCAGGCCTCTAGGCCCCGGGCCCTGCCGGCCCCGGCCCTCTGCCCTCAGCCCCGGCCACCTCTCTCGGCACTGTGGCTGCCCTGCCCGGGAAGGACCCCACTTTGTCTGCCCCGCCCCCCATGAGGGCCTCTTTGGGAACTCCTCTGGACAGACAAGTTGTGACACTTGGACCAGGACGGTGATCTGCCTACAGGACTATGAACATCAGCTTCTGACTTTCTTTGGTTGCCTTTGACCTCTCTAGGCCCCCGATTCTCATCAAGTCTTGTTTCCTTATAAAACCAACCAGAAGATATGAGCATGAGTAGGTATGGAAGCGGTCACTGGGAGCAAAGCTCTACCTGTAACACTAACCCCAGGGTTGGGGCCAAAGTCCCAACCTTACCTGTGGGTTTTAGGGGAGCCGAGAGGAAGTCATCCACGCCCTGGGTGGCTTCAGCCTTCCCGGTGAGAACTGTAGGAAAGAACTGGGCTAGAGCAGCACAGTCCCAAGGTTGGAATGGAAGGGGAACAAGGAGGATGGCGTGCGGGACGGGCAAGCGCGGGAAGACAGGGACGGGAGAAGTCATGAGTGTGGCCACGAAGGGGCAGAGGCCGGAGGGGGCAAAGGAAAGTGCACCTCCCTGGCTCTCCTAGCAGGTGCGCCTCTCAGGCAGGAGCCTGCTGTATCAGGGGCCCTCAACCCTTGGCCAGAAGGGGAAAGGACAGAGTTTTAGGGCCCAGCAGAGAGGATGGGAAGAGGGGCAGAAGGAGCCCTCGGGAGCCCAGATTCCAGCTGCTCCTTTTGGGAACCAAGCTCCGTCATGCCTCCTGAGCCAAGGAGAACCGAGAAGGGCTGTGGACTTGGGAGGGCAGTAGGTAGCATAGAAACGGAGTCCAGTGCTGAAGTGGGAGCCCCAGGATGAGCTTGGCTCCTGGGCCTGGGGGCCGTGATTTCGGGTGGTGATTAGGGTGTGGCCTGGCAGCTCGCCCCCGACCCTCGCGGCCAAGCCACCAGACTTTGTTTTATTAAACCAAAATAGGAGAACGGCTCGGGACTAGGGCAGCAAGCCCAGGCACGGGGGGAGGGGAGAAAGGACAGCCCGTGGCCTGTCCACAGAAATGGCCACTGCCTCGCTGACCTCACCACCATGGCCATAGCTCCCCCTGCACGCGGAGCCACTTCCCAGGTCCCTGGCGGCCAGGCTGTCCATCACAACCGGCGGCCCCGGGTCCCTGCCCCACGCAGTCTCTGCTCGTCATCTCTGTCCCTCTCCATCCCTCTCCATCGGCCTTCTTTCTTGGCCTCCTCTGCCGCAGACTGAATTCCAGCGGGCTAGGGATGGGGGCACGTCTTCACCTAAGTATGCCATGTCCACATGTCCCCTCCCCCGTGCTTAGCCCCCCAGCTCTGCCCTCTCAGAGTGGCCTCTTCCCGAGCCGTGGGGCCTGAGCTGGCGAGTGGGTGAGAGCTGCCTGCCTAGGGCTGGGTGCTGGCTCGGGGCTGAGGGGAGGCGTGTGCGCACGGCCGGAGCCTGCCCCGCACCGCAGGCCTCACCGACCCTGTCCCGCACAGATGTGGACGAGTGCGCCGAGGGCAACGGTGGCTGCCAGCAGAGCTGCGTCAACATGATGGGCAGCTACGAGTGCCACTGCCGGGAGGGCTTCTTCCTCAGTGACAACCAGCACACGTGCATTCAGCGGCCAGAAGGTCAGCCCCTGCCGGGGAGGGCTGCACGCCCAGGCTCCCCGCCCCTTCTGCCTGCAAGCTTCTCTCACAGCCCTTCAGTTTCACCCAGTGCTCTCCATTCCACCAGCCCCTCCTCTGGTCCCTCAACCCGGTCACTTCCCACGGGCTCCGTGAATAGACGCTCTGTCTTAGAGCTACACTGGGAGGGTTTATTTGGGGTTGGGGTCCCTGTGGGGTCGAGGCTGCTACGTGGCGTCCCCGTATCCAGGCCTGAGGTGAATCTCTTTACCAATGAACCGGAGACAGCTGGCGCTAAGCTGCTGCTGCCTGAGGCAGCGTCCCTTGGACTGGGTCGGGAGGGTCAGGCAGGAACGGTGGGCATCTGTTGTCTCTCTCGGGGGCTCCCCGCCGAGACGGTGACGTTTCTGAGGGCAGGAACGACATCTGCACATCTCCAGAACCTGATACACTGCCTGTCCTGTGTGTAGTGGGAGCTCAGATATTTGTTGAGTAAAACTGTGTAATAATGATCTACGCCAGTTGCTCCCCACTCATACTGTGTTATTTATCTTCTTCCCAGTTTAACTGTCAGCTCTCTGAGAAAAGAGGTCACGTGTCACATTTTACCTTGTATACGGGTCCTTCCTAAATCCTCAGTGCCGCGCACAGCACTAGGCAATGATTCGACACTTGGATTTGGGTTGTTTGAAGGAGAGGGTGATCGTGTGGTTTTCGGGGGTTCGGTGTCAGTATCTGCACCCCAGTCAGAATGGCTTTGAGCTCTGAGGGCAGGACAGGGAGCCTGTGAGGGGAGCCAGCCCCGCCCTGTCTTGCAGCCTCACTGGAATTCTCCCCATTCCCTGGGCCCAGCCGTCCCTTGCAGTCCCTCTCCCTCTAGGCGTCTGGAAGCACAGGGCATCCACCCCGCTCCTCTTCCCTTTTAGAAGGAATGAACTGCATGAACAAGAACCACGGCTGTGCTCACATTTGCCGGGAGACACCCAAAGGGGGTATTGCCTGTGAATGCCGCCCCGGCTTCGAGCTCACCAAGAACCAGCGGGACTGCAAACGTGAGATGGCTGGGGTGGCCGGGCAGAGAGGGAGACAAAGAGGTGGCGTGTGGGCCTCTCGGCAAGAGGTGGGCGGGGAAGGGAGAAGGAGCTGCAACTAGACGAGAGGGCCAGTAGCTGTGTTCCGGAGGGAGAAGCAAGCTGACGGGCCTCCTGCCCTCTCCGCACAGTGACGTGCAACTACGGGAACGGTGGCTGCCAGCACACGTGCGACGACACAGAGCAGGGTCCCCGGTGCGGCTGCCACGTCAAGTTCGTGCTCCATACCGACGGGAAGACGTGCATCGGTGGGTGAGGCCGGTGGGGCACTTAGTCCACCCGTGATGGGGGAAGGGGTTGGGGGTCCTTGGGATCCAGGGGCGTGGGGAGCACAGGGGGCCCAAGTGTGGGGCGCAGGATGGCTGGTCAGTGAGCTGGAGACCCGGGCAGAGCCAGGTCTAGAGAGGGACGACTCCGAGAGACCGGAGGGCACCCTGGCCCTCCTCTCCTCCCCCACCCGTTGGCCCTGCCGCCAAGAGCCTCAGCACCCTCTTTATCCAGGACAAGGTGTTGCCAAAAGGGGAGTAACTGGCAGAGGCACCTGTGGGCCCAGTCTGTGGCCGAGAGCGGGGCGGAGAGCGGGGCGGTGCAGGGTGAAGCCTGCACGGAGGCTCCAGTTGACCAGCGTGGTGAGACGGGGCTGTCACAGCCCGCTGTCCCCACCGGGACTGAGAGCTCTTTCCTGAACAGCCAGCCCTCGGCTGGCAGATGGGGTTTCCTGACTCCAGCAGCTTCCTCCTTTGCGTGCCTTCTCTCCCTTCCCTCCCCGTTTCCTCCTCTCGCCTACACATCCAGTGGGCTCCCTCCCAGCTCTGCCCGAGGCCTCACTTCCTCACCAAACCCTGCCTCCCATCCCTCTCGCCCTGGTGTGGGGCCTTCTTAACACCTGGATCCCTTTTCCTGAATTCCTAAGCCTCACCTCACACACCTTTAGGTACATTTGATGAGCTTCATTCCTTAAGTTCGATTCCTAATTCCCTAAGTCTTTAAGTCTTTTGTGAAAGCCGATCACTGTGTGCTCACAGAGTGCTGAGAGAGGTGATGGGACCAGTGAGCCCCAGGAGAAGTGGGAATGAAAGGGAAGAGTGAGCCAGGCAGGGGCAAGCTGCCTCTGCGGGCACAGGACTCGTGGGTGGCCGTTCAGGTCGTGGCTGCAGCATGCTGGGGGAGTGTGAACACCAGAGTCACGACATTCAGCTTATGAACCAGACTGTCCCCCGTTTCACCCCGGAGACCCACCCTGTCTCTGCAAACAGCACCAGCCTTTTCCCAGACACAGGGACAGGGGAGCAGATGATGCTCTGAAAGGTCCCGCTCAGCTGCCTGCTCCAGAGACCTGCACGCACGGCTCTGAAAGTTCTCTAACGAAGACCTCACCCGCTACGTGTTTTCCTCTGAACTAACTCTTCAAAGACCTTGGAGCACTTTTAGGTCTTCCTGTTGCCTGCTCCAGGCTGATCGTTCCAGCTCCTTTCATTTTTCCCTTGTGAATCTAATTCTGCTTTCCAAACCTCCCCCCGCCCCCTGGATACACTCACACATCAGCAGTCTCCCTGAAGAAACTGCATGCAGTCCCCAGGGGGAAGCTGCATGTGACAGGACAGAGCTGTGGGCCCCCAGGTGTGGGGGGTTCCTCTCAGCAGATGGCCCTGGGCACGGCTGCTTTTGACGATTCCCCTATTAAGCTTGAGCTCTTCCCCAATGCAAGACTCATTCCGCCTTCCAGGCCACGGCCGGGTAAGGCAGGAGGAGCCGGCGTGGCTGTCCTGAGGCCCAAGGCCATGTTCATGCTGAGCTCCTCTCCCTCTTCTCCAGTAGAACTTGTTTTACCTTGCCCTGCATCTCATTTTTCTCCCCAGCCCTGGTGGGTGGAAACGTCATTGTCCGGGGCCATCGGGCCACTCAGATTCGGTGGGGAGACCGAGGGCGGTACAGTGCAGTGGGCATGGGGCGCCCTTCGGGGTCTGGCAGCTTGTAAGACGTAGGGTTGGGTTCCCAGCCCTGCCTTTGGCATGCCGCGTGGTGCTGGGCCCGTGATTGCCCCTCTCTGAGACTTGCCCATGAGTCACTTGGTGGGAATCCAGCCTCCTTGAGGGTATCGGGCAGCAGAAGGCTGGGGAGTAAAGTCTTGGAGTCTCAGGGCTCATCCTATGGGGACAGTGGTGTGGGCCTCAGGGTGGAGGAGGGCGGGGAGGGGCTGGGCTCGGTGGGCCACAGTGGCTCCTGCCCGGCATCTAAACAGCTTTTTTACAATGTCAAACAGGGGAAAGGCGGCTAGAGCAGCACGTCCCCCCTCAGGCCGTTTCTAATGGTAAATATGTCTGCTCTCTCCGCTTGCTCCCACTGGCTTGCTAGGGGAAGGGCTAACCGCCGGGGCTCCCACTAACCGCATGCCCACCGGGCCGGCCTGACTGGGCGCCAGCCCGCACGCAGGGCTCCCCTGGCAGCCTGGGCACGGCCCGCTGAGTGTCTCCGGAGCCCCCAGCGCTGGCCTGGGAGGCTTCCTGTTGGTTTGTCTTTCTTCGATCTTGTCATTTTCTTTCTCTCCTTCCTCTCTCCTCCCTCCTTTCCACCTTCTGCCTTGCCCACCTTCTAACACCTCACCCCTGCCCAACCATCTGTCCCTCTCCTCTGCTCTCCACACAGCTGAGGACACAGCAGCTCTATCTTACCCATCGCGCCCGCCGTGCCACCTGAGGTAGGGGTGGGTAGGGCTGGGTGCCGCCCCTCCTGGGGCTCCTTACCCACAGCAGCCCGCAGCCCCGGCACCGCTGGTCTCCCTCTCCTAGCGGGACGGTGCAGAGCGGACGCGTGAGCTCAGACAGCCTGAGTGCGGGTTCTGGCTCTGCCACCTTCAGACCCTGCGGCCTCAGGCAAGCCGCTCTCCTCTCTGATCCTTGGTTTCCTCTTCTCTAAGATCGGGAGGACGAGTGCTCCCTAGGGCTGCCCCGGTGGCTGAGGTGCTGTGTGAGAGCGGCTAGTCAGTTCCTGGTGCAGAGTCAGCACAGAGTAACTGATTTAACACCGTGACCTGCAGAGCACAGGGCTGAGGCCATGCTGTCCCGCCGCCCCGGCCCTGCCTACAGCTGTCCCATGGGGACAGACAGCTATGCCGGCGTTCTGCCCTGACCTGGGATGGGCACCGTGCCAGTTCTGCTACTCCCTGCCCTGGATCCCTCAGGATCAACTGTGACTTGGCATAGGACCCGTTCCCCTCTGCCTGCTCCAGGGCTGGGGGACCGCTTTTTACACTAAGAGCATCCTTGGGGGGTTGGCAGAGTTTGGAGCCTGAACTCAAGCTTCCCTCCCATGATCTTGGGAACCTCAGGAGAGGCTCCGGTGGGAGTGCCGCACCGGAGATCCCGCTGTGGCTGCGCCCAACCTGAGCATTCGAGGGGCCAGGGCGTGACCAGGCACCCACAGGCAGAGTCAGCCTTCTGATTCCCTGGCTCTGCTGGTCTCCTCAGTGACAAGGGTTGGGCCGAAGTTTTAGGAGTCGAAGATGGTAGTACTCTCTCATTCAAAGATGGCGCCTCTCTCATTCAGCTCCCGATCCTGAGAAACACTCTGCTTTGGGCCCTCGAGGAGGCCTTGGGATTTGCTCTCTCTAGTGGGAGAATTCTAGGGCCCTCAGGTCCTCACACCACCTCCACACCCCTTTGGCGGGGCCTTGCACTGTTTGAGCTGATGGCTTTCCCCTGGGCTCACCCAACACTCCTCTGCTATTAAACCTGCTTTTCTCCGGCTCTGAATTCAGAAAATAGGGAGAGTGACCCATCCATACACCCCTACTCTGGCCTTTCAGCAAAGGAGAAGTCTACCCGTCAGGAGAGGACAATAGAAGAAACAGCTCCAAGGTTCTCTGACTGTTTGACCTGCCTTCTTTCGCCCTTCCTTCTCTGACTCTTCCTCTTCTGCTCCTCTCCTCCCCTCCCCACTAGGAAAGTAAAACCACAGAACGCTGGCCTGTCTCCATCTGGTAGTGTAGGGGGGGCTTGCGAGGAGCTGGAGGTAGGCTGGAAGGGGCTGGGATCTGACTGTGTGCCGTCTCCTGAGGACGAGCAGTCAGTCGTGGGACGGGGGTCTATCTGAGGAGAGCTGGGCAGAAAGGGGGAGCGAACCGGTGGCCGTCAGCTGTCTTAGGAACCACCAGGCTCATTCTTCCCAAGATTGTGCCGCCGTGAGCCCCGCCCTCCAAAGAGATAGTCTGTTGAAAGAGGAGGAAACTCCTGTGTGTCCCTTCTTATTCTCTGATAGCAATTGCTCCCATCCCTCCTTGCGCCCTCCCCTCTCCACCTCCTCCACCCCTCAGCACATTCCTGCCTGACAGCTCTGGCTTGTACCTGCCTCACCGCTGTCCACCTTGTTTCAATCAAGTAGGGGGCAGGGACGTGGACTGCTTGGCTGCACTTGTGAGGGGATGGGGGCTGGGAGCCTCCGCTTCATGCTCCTTCTAAAGCACAGGGAGGCAGCCGAGGCCTTCCCTCTTCCCTCCAGCCTCCGTGCTGTCCATCACCCTAGAGTGTGGGGCTCCTCCAGGCCAGGCGATGACCTGGTTACCACCCCCACCTCCCCCCCTAAACAGAGACCTGTGCTGTCAACAATGGGGGCTGTGACAGTAAGTGCCACGACGCAGCGACGGGTGTCCACTGCAGCTGCCCTGTGGGCTTCATGCTGCAGCCAGACAGGAAGACCTGCAAAGGTAAGGGCTTTCAGAGGACAAGCGTGTACAAGTAAAGGGCTGAGGAGGGGATCTGAGATAGGGCCCCTATCACGGGCCCAGACCTCCTGCACCCCCTGGAGACTACCCTAATTATAAAGAACTGAGGTCATAACTAAGGCTGGTCTCCTGCCCACCTTCCCTGTCGCATTTCAAGGGGCACCAAAGTCTAACCAGGTCCTTCGAATCCCCTGCCCCACGCCACCTTGTTTTCCCTACTCTCGTTCCCATCCCCTGGTGTCCCGGCCCTCTTGGTTAATGGACGTGCCCTTCACATTTGTCCCTGGGTCTAGAAGGGTATGTGAGCCGTGTGTGTGTGCATCACAAGTGTGTTCCACACCCTTCGTACCCCACAGTCCTTGGACCTTCCCTGGGAAAACGCTGTACTACGCGTCAGAGCGAGGAAAGGGCAGCAGTTGGGAGCACCAGTGCTGGGGCCTGGCTCATGGGTTCCAATCCCAGCTTGCCTCTTACTAGCTCCGGGGTCCGGGGCAAGTTACTTAGTATTTCTGTGCCTCAGTTTCACCAGCATGATGGTGCTTGCAGAATGTTGTAAGGATTAAATGAGTTATATATACATATAAATAAAGGACTTAGAACAGTGCCTGACAAATGATGGACACTTCATGTTAGCTGTGATTTTGGTATAATTTCCCACATTGTCCATTCTGTTGCCCCTCCTTTAATTAGCCAGGTCTATGGGAAAAGTTGGGGGAAAGGGAAGCCCTACTGAAAGTAATGATTCATCCGGGCTGTGTTCCTTGGTCACAAGGAGTAGGGACTGGAAGGAGGTCTGGGCTCATTCTTTGTGTCTTTTGGCCCAACAGCTGGCAGAGAGGACGGGGGAGGGCTGGGGCAGCAGGTCAGACAGCCAGAGTTGAGAGGTTTCCTGCTGGGAAGCACTGTTGACAGGTATGCTAAGAGTGAAGTAGAAGGCTGCCCTCTCTGCCCCCTCCCCCAAGTAGGGGTGAATAGCCTGGGTCCTGTCTGCCACCAGCTTGGGGAACTTGACCTCAGGAAGGAAGCTGCTCACCCCCACCCCCCTTCCCTTCCTAGTGCTGAAAGCTGCCTCAGGCCTGAGTCTCTCCAGATCTCTCCAGCCCAGCCCCCTGCCTGGTCCCCACCCCTCCCCCATCAGCTACCCAGCCTCACTGGCTTCTCTCCGAAGAGCTGCTGCCCCTTTTAATCTCCACCTCGCTGTGCCACCTCCTCATCCGCCCCACTGAGCTCCTGTGACAGGTGTAGGTGGGGTTCAGGAAAAGAATACACCCTATCCACCAGCCCTTCTGGGAAGGGCCACCGGCCACAGAGTGAAGGGCATGGGCCAGCTCTGTTGGTCACATGCCCACCCACTTCCTGCTCCAGGCAACTCCCTGAGGGCTGACTCTGGTTCCCATTTGTCCCCTTCAATGAGGACTCAGCCTGAGGAGAGATGTTACTAGTGGTGCAGATCCATCCCTGAATAGGGAAGAAAGAGCTGGGGAAAGCGAGAAAGTCAGAAGGGGCAGGCTCCTGACTCTCCTTGATTCAGTCTGGGAGGGAGGGAGGGAGGGAGGAAGGGAGGGGTTTGTCCCCAGCCTTCAGTATTACCTTTGATTTTCCCTACTTTGTCCTGCTTCCCCAGACATAGACGAGTGCCGCTTGAACAATGGTGGCTGCGACCACATTTGCCGCAACACAGTGGGCAGCTTTGAATGCAGCTGCAAGAAGGGCTATAAGCTTCTCATCAACGAGAGGAACTGCCAGGGTGAGTAGACTTTGGCCAAGGGGAAAGCCTTGGAGAGGTTCTTAGGGTAGGAGAGCTTCAACCCGCCAGAGTCTGAGAAAGTCAGTAGACACTGGGGAGAGTTTCCATAAGCAGTGTCGTGCTGCAAATGAACAAACCTGTGCCTTCTCCCCAGCAGCCCAGCTCTACACGGGCGCATGTGGCTTGGCTGGGATTGAGAGAATGGGTTCCACCCCCATTCGTATCCTTGGCAGGGTCTGACGTAACCACACAGAGCGGCCCTGATCTGTAGGCATCGGATCTTGTAGTTCCTGGTTCCAAGGACTCCCGAGTAGAGGCAGCGGGGGGATTCGGCCTCAGCAAGGCTGAATCGCTGATCCTGGGGCTACGCCATGAATAGGGACTTCCGGTGGACGGGGGGAGCCATGGCCTCTCACTTGGGCCCTTCACCTGAGCAGGGCCCCAGGCTCCCAGGGTCAAGTCCCCCAGGACGGATTCCGTGGCTTGAACCTTTGCTTTTCCAGATATAGACGAGTGTTCCTTTGACCGAACCTGTGACCACATATGTGTTAACACGCCGGGCAGTTTCCAGTGCCTCTGCCATCATGGCTACCTGCTGTATGGTGTCACCCACTGTGGGGGTAAGCCAGCAAATCTGGACCCTCAGCCACCAGGTCCCTCTCACCTCCTCACCCCTCAAGTGAACAAGCCCCTGAGTTGGCTTGTGGCTGTGGGCAGTCCCCTGGTACATGTGCCATGTCTGCGTCCATCATGATGAAATGGAAGGAATTACCACAACTGGGGATCCGGTCTCAGGGGAAAGACGGCATCCTGCCTCTGAAATGTCTGTCCCCCATCCAGATCACTTTCCCTTGACTCCCATCCTCAGCTCCCAAATTATCTCCCCACTAGTAGATAGGGGCAGAAGCCTTTAAAAAGCCCATCAGCATAGGCAGAGATATGGGAAGGAGGTCTTAAGTTTGAGCTCTTCTCGGGACAGTTGTAGCAGTCATCCTGAAGTGCCTGGAACTCTAACCAAAGGTCATTACTCATTGCCCACTCCCTGGCTCCTTCTCGTCCCCCACCATTTGTTTGTCTGTGTCTCCCTGCTCCTTCCCCCAGATGTGGATGAGTGCAGCATCAACCGGGGAGGCTGCCGCTTCGGCTGCGTCAACACTCCTGGCAGCTACCAGTGTACCTGCCCCGCGGGCCAGGGCCGGCTGCACTGGAATGGCAAGGATTGCACAGGTGGGCAGCACCCTCTGCTGGCCTCCTCTGGAACTGTAGTTTCAGGGATCCTGGAGAGTGAGGCGGTCCACGTTGAGGAAAGTATGAGGTAGTAGCGGGTGAAGAATATAGCTATTTGAGTTAGAGACATGAAGTTTCCAGTAGATGCTCCATTAGTCCCTTTATCAGGCTCTGTACAATTACAGTTATGCACGTAACTAATTCTGTTCCTCCAAATTAGCCAACTGAGGGAGAGGCGGGGAATGAAGGCCCTCTCCTGCTCAGGCCCCTCTCCCCCCTGCAGAGCCGGTGAAGTGTCCGAATGGTCCCGGTGCCTCAAAAGCCATGCTCAGCTGCAACCGGTCTGGCAAGAAGGACACCTGTGCCCTGACCTGCCCCTCCCGGGCCCGGTTTTTGCCAGGTACATAGAAGAAGTTACCAGAGGGCTGGCGGGGAGGGAAGACAGCTCCTCTGCTTCCCTTAGAGACGTCCAACCAGTGAGGGTTGTGGGGACCAGGTCAGAGCTGTGACAGCCCCCTTCTCTCAGAGTCTGAAAATGGCTTCACGGTGAGCTGTGGCACCCCCAGCCCCAGGGCCATTCCAGCCCGAGCTGGCCACACCGGGAACAGCACAAACTCCAACCACTGCCATGGTGAGCGCCGGCCCAGAGGCCAGTTCCCGCCCTCCTCTTGCTTACTGACCCCCATTTCTCTTCTTCAGTAACCCCCTTGGCCTTAATTTTTTCTGGATCCCCTTCTTTGCTCTGTAATTCTTCAGCCCTGCTGCCTTGCTCCCTCTTCCCCTCATTTCTGATTGCCTCGGCTTTTGTAATCCGTCTCCTCCAGCCAAGCCCCCGGCTTACTGCCCAGCTTCTCAACACCCTCTGCAGCAGCCCTCACCCCCACGGGGCCCCCGGGCTGCGCTGAGCTTCTACCATCTCTCTAGAGGCTGCAGTGCTGTCGGTTAAGCAGCGGGCCTCCTTCAAGATCAAGGACGCCAAATGCCGTTTGCACCTGCGAAACAAAAGCAAAATGGAGGAGGCCAGCAGAATCCTGGGGCCAGGTTTGGACTGGGGACCCCACTCTAGTAGGCTGTCTGCCCACCAAACCCTTCCCAGCCCTTAGCTCCTCTGCTTAGTGAGATCTCAAAAACCCCACTAGTGCCCTGAACTCTAGAAAGAGCAGGGGCAAAAGCAGATTGTAGGTATACAGCCCAAGGAAGTCCCAGGGTGTTCTCCAACCCAATTAATTGGCGCCCTAGACTCAAAGAGCATTGGGATAGCTGCAGGCAGAGATCCGGGTGGAAGAGCAAGAGCTGGGAGTGAGAGCTTCCTGTCCCCCGTGAGTGCCCTGGGGTTGACAAGGCCTTTCCCCCAGGTGGTGCCCCCTGCTCTGACTGCCAGGTCACCTTCATCCACCTCAAATGTGACTCCTCTCGGAAGGGCAAGGGCCGGAGGGCCCGGACCCCTCCAGGCAAGGAAGTCACTCGGCTCACCCTGGAACTGGAGGCAGAGGTCAGAGCCGAAGAAACCACAGGTGGGACTGGGAGCACTGCTGGAAAGAGGGCGGGAAGTGGGGGGAGTGTGGGCAGAAATAGGGAAACCACAGGTCTCAGCAGCAAGGGGGAGGGGTGGAACCTGTACTCAGGGCAGACCGTGCCTAAGGCAAAGCCCAGGAGCCAGTCCCTCTCACCTGAAGCTCCTGGCTTCAGTTCCGTCCTGCTGACAGCCACTTTCTCTCCTCTGACTTCACACCACCATCCGCCACCAGCTGGCTGTGGCCTGCCCTGCCTCCGACAGCGGATGGAACGACGGCTGAAAGGGTCCCTGAAGATGCTTAGAAAGTCCATTAACCAGGACCGCTTCCTCCTGCGCCTGGCAGGCCTGGATTATGAGCTGGCCCACAAACCAGGCCCTGCAGCTGGGGAGCGAGCCGAGCTGGTGGAGGCCTGTAGGCCCGGGCAGCACCGCACTGGGGCCAAGTGTGGTAAGGGAGCTTCCTGGGATACAGGGGAGTATGGGAGTGGGAGAGGCCAGCTTGGGCCTGGCTCAGAGCAGAATGCTTTATGGCCTCAGTTGCATCTCTCAAATTGTGAGGCAGCCAAGACCCTCCTGCCCGTCACCCTCTGCTCCGTGGTCCCAGGCTGCAGTCTAGAAGAACGACAGGTGGCACCGCCAGTCCTCCTGCATGTGGCTTTGGCCTCTGATTCTTCCAAGCAGGATTCTGTCTGTTTCCAAAGAGATTTTCCTTAAATCTGGGGAAGTGGGAAGGGGAGTCCCAGGCCTGGGTGGTGGGAAATAGGGGCTGGGGTGGGTGGCTAGCGCGGCCGACTCTCCCTCAGTCAGCTGCCCGCAGGGGACGTATTACCACGGCCAGACGGAGCAGTGTGTGCCATGCCCAGCGGGCACCTTCCAGGAGAGAGAAGGGCAGCTCTCCTGCGACCTTTGCCCTGGGAGTGATGCCCACGGGCCTCTTGGAGCCACCAACGTCACCACGTGTGCAGGTGCCAGGGGAACAAACAATGCAGATTGGGGTAGGGTGGGCACTGGGACGCCCATGGCCATGGGATTTCCCAAGGGCAGGCCCAGGCTCCAGGCCACTCTCCTAGTCAAGATCCTGTTTGTGTGCCTCTGTCCCCTGATAGTGGGTGACCCCAAAGGGATGACCAGGACCATCCCCATCAGAGTTGGGCCCTTGGTTCATTGCAGGTCAGTGCTCACCTGGCCAACACTCTGTAGATGGGTTCAAACCCTGCCAGCCATGTCCACGTGGCACCTACCAACCTGAAGCAGGACGGACTCTGTGCTTTCCGTGTGGTGGGGGCCTCACCACCAAGCACGAGGGGGCCATCTCCTTCCAAGACTGTGACACCAAAGGTGAGTAGGCTACTCACCCCACTAGGGCACCCTCCCGGTTCCCAGAGTAGACCCAGGTTTGTTGCACCGCCATCTTCCCCAAACCAAGAAAGGCCCAGCTGCCTCACCACTACCAATACCTTGCTCACAGGACCCATCCTGACCTGCCGGAAGCCACAAGCCTGGGAGTTGGGGACTAAGTAACAGTGCCAAGGCCCTAGCCAGGCAGCTCAGTCGGTTAGAGCATTGTCCTGGTATGCCAGGCTGCAGTTCCATCCCCAGTCAGGGCGCACACCAGTGAGTGCATAAATAAGCAGAGCAACAAACCGATGCTTTTTTCCTCTCTCTCTTCTCCGTCTAAAAACCAATCAATAAAAATTTAAATAAATAAACAGCAGTGCTAATTACCTGTCCCCTTCAGAGAGCTGGCAGCACTTCCTCCTCAATCCTACAAACAAGCTTCTGTACAGGCTCAGCACCGCTCCGCGCATGGGAGAAAAGGATTGGCACCGTGGTAGCCACACTGTCCAAGTCTGCTTTCCCCTGGCCTTAAACCCTGGCAATGACTAGGAAAGGCTGGACTCGGGAAGGAGCTTTGGTGTCTGGGATGAACGTATCCTGCCCATCCCGTGCCCCAGAACTCCCACTTGCCTACCACCTTAGTGCCCCCCTCCCCCCCCTCCTGCAGTCCAGTGCTCCCCTGGGCACTACTACAACACCAGTATCCATCGCTGCATCCGCTGTGCCATGGGATCCTATCAGCCCGACTTCCGTCAGAACTTCTGCACCCGCTGTCCCGGAAACACCAGCACTGACTTTGACGGCTCCACCAGCGTGGCCCAGTGCAAGAGTAGGTGGCAGGCCGCTGTAGAAAATGGGTTGGAGAGGCCTGAGAAAAATGGACACAGGGAGAAGCAGGGTGGAGGAAGTAACCCAGCAGGGAGCAGGGCTGAGAAGTGGACTGGCAGGCAAGTCTCACCCTCCATCTCTCCCCAACCCAGTCAGTCTCGAGACCATTTGCTGGGCTGGGCCCTGTAGCATCCTCTCCCTGGAGACAGGTAATGGGGAGGCAGAGACAGGTGAGGGGAGATGAGAAGGTACTAAAAGGGCAGCAGGGAAGGTGGCCCCAGAATGTGGAGAATAGATGATGTGTGTGATTTCCACTTCAGAACTCTTCGGTTTCCCCACCTGTTTCCCCACTGACTCCCCCTCTCTTTCTTGCCCTGTCCACTGGCGCGTGACTACAGATCGTCAGTGTGGTGGGGAGCTGGGTGAGTTCACTGGCTATATCGAGTCCCCCAACTACCCAGGCAACTACCCAGCCGGTGTGGAGTGCGTCTGGAACATCAACCCCCCACCCAAGCGCAAGATCCTTATCGTGGTACCCGAGATCTTCCTGCCATCTGAGGACGAATGTGGGGACGTCCTCGTCATGAGAAAAAACTGTGGGTGGCTGCAGAGCTGGACCAGGGAAGGGCAGTCCAAATCCAGTTGGGAGGGGGAGAGAGGAAACCGGTACAGGAAGGACTGGAGCAGTGGCAAGGGAGGCCTTGGGAGGGGAAGAGCTAACGGAGGGAAACAGCAGTGATGCTACCTGTTCAGTGGAGAGCAGAGTTAAGAAAGCCAGCACTGGGATTAGAACACCAGTACTGTTAGATGTGCCGCTTTCCTGTTCGAGAGTTTTTGCTGTTCCATTCACTTAAATGTCAAATATCATTCACCACATGAATGCCTGGATGTCAAATAGGGTTGTGGAGTAAGTCCAGGCTGGTGGGAGACTGTGTGTGTATGTGGAGGGTGGGGTGCGGCGGTGTGTGCCTAGGGGACAGCCTGTCAGCACGACCCCCTCTCCCCCAGCCCTCCCTCCAGGGGGGCTTGGGTGGCCTGCCCTGCTGCTCTCATGACTAGCTGCTTGCCTTCCCAGCCTCCCCATCCTCCATTACCACCTATGAGACCTGCCAGACGTACGAGCGCCCCATCGCCTTTACAGCCCGCTCCAGGAAGCTCTGGATCAACTTCAAGACAAGCGAGGCCAATAGTGCGCGTGGCTTCCAGATCCCCTATGTCACCTACGACGGTGAGCAAGGGCAGGAGAGCCAGGGAGGGGGGTGAGAAATGGGAGGCTCATGGGTCTTGGGGAGCAGCAAGGGGAACAGGTAGAGTGCCCGCCCCGGAGCTTCTTCCCATGGTTGACTTTGCAGAGGACTACGAGCAGCTGGTAGAAGACATTGTGCGAGATGGCCGGCTCTATGCGTCTGAAAACCACCAAGAGATTTTAAAGGCAAGTGAATATTAACAATAGTCAACATTTAATGAACGTGTAACAACGTGCAGCCAATAGGCCATGAATACATTCAATAACACACAATAGCTCTATGAATTAGGTACTTCCATCATTCCCACTTTACGGATGAGAAACTGAGGCACAGAATTCCAGAAGTTGCCCAGAGGCAAAGCTGGGATTTGAGCCTAAGCCCGTCTGACTGTATGTAGCGTCAACCACACCTTGGGGGCAGAGAACAGAAAGATGAGGAGGTGAAATTTCCCCTGCCTCTTCCATCAAAAAATATAGGGGGAATGCAGTATAGAGAGATGCTTTTGTGTAAGTCCCTTCCTTCCCTTCCTCAGCACCCACAGAAACGCAGATCAGCAGAGTGTTTCTCACAGTTAATTCAGTACAGACTTCTCTGAAGGGAAAATAAATGTTTCCGACACTGAAGAAAGGCTTAGACACCTGGGTCTTGTGGATCCCAGTTTGAGGAAAATTTTACTTAAGAAACTATAGTCCTAATCACAGCCCTTTATAAATTATTAACTTAAAAAAGGTTTGTCTTGCCCTGACTGGTATGACTCAGTTGGTTGAATGTTGTCCTGCAAAGCAAAAAGTTGCCGGGTCCAATTCCTAGTCAGGGCACATGGCTGGGAGCGTGTGTGTTTGGTCCCTGGATGGGGAGTATAATGAGAAGCAACTGATTGATGTTTCTCTCTCACACTGATGTTTCTGTCCCTCTCTTTCTCTCCCTTCTCTCTCTAAAAATAAATAAGTAAATAATATATATATATTTTTAAAGGTTTGTCTCTGCCCTGGCCAAGTGGCTCAGTTGGTTGGAGCCTTGTCCTATGCACTAAAAGGTTGCAGTTTTGATCCCCAGTCAGGGCACATACCTAGGTTGCAGGTTCGATCCCCAATCAGGTGTGTGCAGGAAGCAGCCAATCAATGTTTCTCTCTCATATCTATGTTTCTCTCTCTCTCTCACACTCTCACTCTCTCTCCACATCCCCCCTCTAAAATCAATAAACATGTCCTCGGGTGAGGAATGAAAAAATAAAAGATTTGTCTCTATGGTTACTAATGTTTGTATTATCATCAAAATAAGGGTCAGGAGCCCTGACTGCTGTGGCTCAGTTGGTTGAGCTGAGCAAAAGGTCACCGGTTTGATTCCTGGTCAGGGCACATGCCTAGGGTGTGGGTTTGGTCCCTGGTCAGGGTGCGTACAAGAGGTAAAGGATCAATGTTTCTCTCTCACATCGATGTTTTTCTCCCTCTTTCCCCTTTCCTTCCCCTATAAATAAATAAAAATACTTTTAAAAAAACAAGGGACATGATGACACAGATCTCCTCAGAACTTGCAAATGCAAAGAATACAATTTCAGCAATGCTTTTTAAACATTCTTTAAGGCATCTGAACCCTTATCTCAAATGTGTTATGGAACTCCAATGTGTACAGTAGCAGAGCCCTTTGATAGGAGTGAGGATGGGAGACTGGAAGCCCCACCTCTCATTCTGAAAATTGCTGATGCAAGGGAAGGAACACTAGCCTAGAAGCCAGAAGATGAGTCCTAGTGCACAGCGCCTGGCACCGAGTAGGCGCCACACGGCAGGCTGCCGTTTCGGACAGGACGGTCAGGGGAGGCCTCTGAGAAGAGCCCTGAATGAGGTGAAGGACTCCCTGTCAGACAATGGGGAGAGGAGTGATCTAAGCTAAGGAGCATGTGAGCAGTGTGGCACGTTTGAGAACCTAGAGAAGGCCAGTGTGGCTCCACAGAATAAGAGCTGAGGAGGGATGGAAGAGAGAACAGGGCACAAATCACACTCAGCCTGTGGGCCCTGTAAGGGACTTGGCTTTTTGAAAAGTACCAGAGAAGTATTTTAAATGGGAAAAGAACATGACCTAATTAAAAAATTTTAAATGGCACTCTGGCCGGTGTAGGGGAGAACAACCTACAGAAATGCAGGATAGGCAGAAGCGTGGAGACCAATTAGGAGGCTATTGCAGTAGTCCAAGTGAGAAATGACGGTGGCTCCGATAGGCTGCCAGCTGTGGAGGCAGCAAAAAGTGGTCAGACCCGGATACATTTTGAAGGTAGAATCAGCAGGATTTGCTGTGGTTGTGAGCAAAAAAGGAGTCAAGGGTGGCTCCAACGACTGGGACCTGAGCAATGGAAGGAGAGGGCTGCCACTGACTGAGCTGTAGAATTCTAGAGGAACAGGTAGTGGGGATGGGAATCCAGCTCGCCTCTGAGTATGCCCCTTAGACATCAAGAGGGGTTGCTGCCGAGGTGAGGCTGGGGTTCCCCTTTCCCATCACTGATGCTGACATTGCCGCCTGCCATCCTCTGCAGGACAAGAAGCTCATCAAGGCCTTCTTTGAGGTGCTGGCTCACCCCCAGAACTATTTCAAGTACACAGAGAAGCACAAGGAGATGCTGCCAAAATCCTTCATTAAGCTGCTCCGCTCCAAAGTTTCCAGCTTCCTGAGGCCCTACAAATAGTACCCCTATGCCCAAGACCCAGGTTTTGAAGACTCCACACGCCTTAGCCCTCAGAGCCGACAGCCCCCACCCTCGGATGAGGAACTCTCTTCTCTGTTTTCAGAGAAAAAAAATCACTAGATAGACCAAGAATTCTCCCTTTCTGTCTCTCTAGTGTCCTTGTCTCTCTGCCTCTCTCTTTCTCTTTCCCCCTCTCCTGTTTTTCCTTTTCCTACACATTCCCTGGAAAAGCCTTTCAGTACTGGCCCTATTCCCCCTGAGGGGTGAAGGAACAGTACCCACGCTCCTCCCCAGCCACACTGTCCATTTTACCATCTCACATCCCTAACCCCATCAACTTGTAAGGGTGCTAAAGGCCTAAAAAGTGGGTCTGCTGGGGAGTGGGAAGGGAGAAGAGGGGCTTCTGCCATTATAAGGTTGTGCCTTACTAGTCTGGAGCCAAAATCTGCCCTGGCTATGTCCTACCCGCCCCCCCCCCCCCGCCGCCCAGGGGATTCTAACAGCCCAGGGTTCTGCCAAAGAAGTCTCTGACTTACAGGCTCACTGCCAGTGCTGGTCCTCTGGGGCGTGTGGTTTGAGCCCTGGACCACCCAAACATCTGGCTTCCTTGTCTATACAGCTCCTCCACTCCTCCCCCCTCATGTCTGCCTGGGGTCCAGTCTATGAGGGCTTACAAAAGGCTCACACCACGGGGCTGGTGGACACCGGCTGAATGAGGAAGAGCAGCAGGCACGACCACGGCAGAAGCACTGCTTTACTCCCAAGAGAAAGACTCTAACTCTGCAGGACAGAAACTGGGTTCTAAACCATCACCAAGAAAAGGGTTGGGGGTAAAGAAATTGTATCATCTAAAGGACTAGACTACAGAACAACTGGAAGCCAGCCTCAAACATTAGTCCCTTTTATTACTTGTCTTCCCTGGCCCAGCCATTCCCTCACTCCCACCCAAGTGCTCCCTGGGGGAGCCCGAGTCCCCTTGCTAAACATTGCCCTTAAAGAAGCATGGCTGCTAAGCAGAAGCCAGCCTGGGCCTTACCTCAGAGTTGTCTTTCCCTTGTAGCCCCAGATGGCTTGTGGGCTCCACCAAAGAGGACCCCACTCTGCAGCCAGCCCTGAGCCACCTGCCTCTGGCCCCAGGCTGTGGGCAGCAAGAGGAACATGTGTGCACTTGGCAAGCCTTCCGCCCGCCCTGTCCACATCTAATAAGTGCAATCATTTGAGTCTTTCTGTGTTGTCTAGAGGGAGAGGTTTTTGTTTCCTGGTTTTGTTTTCGTTTCTTTCTCCTCTATTAGGACAACCCTATTTATAGCTTCCCAAGAGAGAAGAGTATATGTTTGGAGTGGATGAAAAAAGGTTTTGAATCTCATGAACTTGGAGTGCTGGCGCATCTGACCTCTCTCTACTCCTGAACCAGTGGCCATTTGGACTTCCTCAGCCCTCAGTGTGGGTAACCCAGGGCTGCAGCTCAGAGGTACCTGATGTGTAAGACAGTAGTTCTGGGGACTTCATGAAGCAAAACGGAGAGGGACAACCCTCTATCCCTGTTCCTCTCTGTGGATTCAGCATGGACCTCATGATTGTATAAGCTGATGGAATAGGTCAGTGATTCTCCACCCCAAGAGGGAAACCTCCATCGTCCCTGCCGTCATCCCGTCTTCCCCTGGTGTACACTGGAAGAGGACCAGGACAAACCCCCTGGGGATGGGGCTGACGCGGCCCTGAGGCCAGAGGCAAGGCTGAAGAAATCAAGATTTGGACAGTTATCCAGGCATCAAGTTGTTTGCCTGACATGGCCATTCCCTTTCAGAGTTGACTTCAAGCCTAGCTTCCTGGAGTACTGCTTTTCAAAAGGAAGAAGAATCAAGTCCATGCCCACACTCCACCCACAATCCACCGCTGCCTGTAAAATTATTTGCCATTTGCTACTGCTAGTTCCCCCAAAGCTATAGTGTTATCCAATCAGAGGCTACCAATGGACTTGTAGTGTTTATTTCTAAGTGACTGTCCCAGGCTATTGCTCCCTCAGGAGACTTGACCTCCTACCCTTTCCTCAGCTAGTAGCATTCACCAGCCAAAACAGTCTTAGTGCGTAGGTAACCAATGTCACAGCCGGGTTGCCTGACATCTGTTAGCCAACATCGTGGCCATTAGGGGTGGAGTGTCTGGCTGCTTTTGCCTCTCTGGATCGAAGAGGGTGCTGCTATAAAGATCCAGAGTGGCTGCCTCCAAGCAGGAAAATGGTCATTTAATAGAAGTATCCATTCTCCCCAGGAAATGCCATGAAAACTGCTTTATTCAACTTTAGCCATCCTGTTTCTCCACCAGAAGAAGCTAAAATAACTGATTCCTCTCTCCCTATCATTTGCATCTCTCTTAGCCCATTGGAGTGCTTCCCAATGTGTGTCTTTAGGGTCTGGCTTTGCCTTGCCATACATATACAAACACACTTCCTCCAATCTTATTCTATGGTTCTATGGGACCTGCAAATGATTTCCACAGTATGGCAAGTATAGACCTCGAGGTTTCTTACTGATGTCAAGCAAGACAGATCTTGGTGAGCAGTGAAGAACTGCTAATGTCCAAGTTTAGTGTAGGTTCTCCAAGTTGAGGGGAGGGGATTAAGTGGACTGAATGAGGAGTCAACACTCAGGGACTCTCTAGGTCTCGCCTTTACAAGTCAGACGGAAGAGGAGGAAGTGGAAAGATGTAAATGGGAATCCCGGAATCAGCCAGAGGCCACTCTGCAGGATGGGTGTTTACAGGTTCTCGGTGCTGTGAGGCTTCATTTATCTTAGTCCAAAGCCTGCCCTGATCTGAGTCAGGGAATGGGAAACCATTTCTGCAGGGGCTCTGAGCACCCAGTGATGCATATCAGAAAGGTGCTTGTGTCCTCAGCAACATGCAATCCCTTTCACTTCTCTGCCTCCTCATTCTGCATTATTAGACCAGGCCCATTCCCTAAACCTGAGGGAACTCAGTCTGGAGGAAGCTGACCAGAGTCTGACCTAGAGCTCCCACCTGCCCCAAGCCTACAAATCCCCAGGGGCAGACATTGAGCTGTGACTGCTCTAACTTCCCCAGGGTTGGTTTAGTTTGAGATGGTAGAGGCTCAGATTTGTTGTTTAAGGTTCAGTAATACAGTCCTCATCTTTGGCCCTAATGAAACATTTTTACATATGAGAAGTATTCTCCATATGCATGATGGAGGTGAGTCTCGAATGGGTTAGGAGGTCAGATCTCAAAATGTCAGAAAACGTTATAGAGCATTTGAGCTTTTCTATTTGCTGCTTAACCTCAATATAAGAGGCTCAAACTAGGGGAAGGGAAACAAAGGATAACTAACCATAAGCAGGAAATAATGTTAGCTGCTTGGCTTACTCCGCAAGCACAGTAAGAAAAAAGTGGATGCAAACAACACAAGGGTATTTTTAAATTCAACCTGTCTCGGCAGTATCACACCCTGTCCTTGGGCAATTTCTGAACCCTTTAAGAAAATATATGATTAGAGGGAATAGAGTCCCCAGTTCTGTTATCAGCTTATCTAGACAACACAGACTTGTAACAGTATGGACAAGCTGAAAACTATTCCTTTGTGTGAGCTGAACTGAGTTTCAGATTAATCATTATCATGTGGGAGGCTTTTTTTTCATGCAGAAGAAATTTCAAAATATTGTATTTATATATGCCTTCCACTGCTGCCGATATTGTAAGCATCTACACAGTCAACAATAAACAGTAAATGATGCAGTTCATAGACTATTTTGCACTTGGGGAAAAAATGTATCTGAACTTGTAAAAAGAAATGTTTGGATTTTGTATTGTCTTGTTTTTTAATTATTATTATTATTATTATTAAAAGATTAAACGAAACCCCTCAGCCTGGCATCTTTTCCTCTATGTCAATAGCTTATCCTAGAGCTGGAAAAAGCTTTCAAGAGACAAAGTGTCTGGCTTCTACACAGGACTTACTCAAATTTTTCATTTATCCATCTTATTCCTAATGGTTTTATAATTCGGTGTAGGCTGAGAGGCCCCTGGGCCCCCACAAGCCTAGCTTGGGGGCTGGGAAAAGCAGCAGTTATTTTGCGTATCAATAATAGCAGACTGTCCTGGCCCTTGTGGAGCCATGAAGGTGTTCAACCCATGAATTCAACCCATGATGTAACTGGGAGGCAGATCCCCGTTACAGCTCCTGCAGGAGAGCTTGGGGATGGTTCTCTCCACTCCACGGGGCCACGACCACCTGGACTGACAGCCAAGAAAGGCAGAGAATATGGGAGTGCTAGCAGGTGTAGCAACTGTGGGTGGATGGAGTCAGAAATGGGGTTATGGAAGAGGTTCCAGGCTGGGATTTAAACAAAAAGGCAGGCTGCCACGTGGGACGGGAACAATGCAGGACTATGGGGACATTTCGAGGTCATGCGGGAAGAAAAAGGACTCTTGCTGGCAGGCCATGAGAGGTGCCACGTGGTTTTACATTGACTGAAGTTCCCCAAGACACAGCTGATGGTGCAGGGAGCTGGGGGGGGACTGCCCAGTGGAGCAGAGATTACTGGGAAGAACCGGGAGAAGTGAGCTGCAGACTTGTTCTCATCTCCTGAGATGTGGTACCCCTGCCTGGCCTGGTTTGGCAAGGGGAGGCAGGAGTGAGTGTGTGTTTGTGGGTGTTTTAAAGGGAGTGGGATTTAACAGCGACATTCCTCCATTACTCTAAGCCTGAGTAACTTTTGAATAAATAGTTCCTTTTCTTTTTACCAAACTCTGGCACCAAGAGCCACAGTTCCTAACACGATGGTGGCAGGCAAAGAACCATGGCAAACAAATACCCTGGGGGAGGGGGTTTGTTTCTGTAACAGTATCAGAATTTGAAAAAAATTGTCTCGTGTATTTTTAAAAGCAGTATCAAGAATCATCCTGAGGGGAATCTAGGGAGTAGGGGAAATTTAGGATATTGTTCCTCCTCATCACAGTACCTTTCCCAAACTCTAGCCAAGCCACAGGTAGCTCAGATGCCTCCCTAGATAGCCTGCCTCTAGCAAAGTGCCTGCATCAACTCAGCGAAGGTTGTTCTTTTAATGCAGTACATTCTTAGCCATCAAACAGAATTCTGAAATACAGATCACTATAGGGCACAAAAGAGCAATCTCCAATCTCTTATAAATGAAGAATTACAATCCCAATTGCTAGGCTCAGATGACAGGTGAATCTTAATTGTTGCAACTTTATAATTGCCTGACATGAATTTTATTGGCTTTAATATCTACATGATGTAGTTAGCCATTTAAGAGGAACAAGGAAA